TTATTGTGAATTTTGAATGAGTCAATTTTACAAGAAACTGCGTGATGGTAAGAGATTCCACGGTTTCGTATATCAAGTAACTTGGCCGATGAAATCTCTTGAGTTTTAGACACAAAGATGATGTTAATGTTTTATTATGTGATCTTCATTATTTTTTTTTCCTGATGAGGTAATGACCTTCCCAAGATATTCGAAACCTTGGAAAATAGCCTTTTTTCTTTTTGGATTATGAAACTAGACTTTGCCGCCTTCTGTAGCTTGGTTATCGTACCGCTTCCTTATTCGGGCACTGGCGATTTGATGGATCACCCAATCTTTACCGGCTATATCTTGTTTGGATTGGAATCCAAACTTAAGGTTGCACGCTAATATTATCTCGCCCCCAAACTGGACTTTTGCTTGTCTTTGGCTTGTTAAATTATTAACAGCGGATCTATATGCCATTGAGAAGAACAAAATATACTGATCTCAATCTCGTTGATGCTGTCATAAGTTCGTCGGAAAAGCTGACTTTCAAAATTTCTGCTTTGGGCACTCCAAGTCGACTAATAAATTCTTTAATTAGCACGTCTGCAACAGTTTTTGATTTGGAAAGACTTCCACCCACTTCGCGAAATAATCCATAACCACCATCATGTATTTATGGTTTAGCAATATCTAAAGCAAACCTCTCAAATGGATTACCGACGTTTTATTGCTTCATGGAAGCCTTTCTTTTTCGCTGAGATCCATTACTCATAGGACATTTCCTACACCAGTCCTTTTTATTAATAGAACTGCAAATCCGATAAAACCTTTCATTAACTTTCTGTAAGTTTTTCTTAACACCGAGATGTCCTTCTGATGGACTATCGTGTAACTGACGAAGTACTTCGGCTACTTTAGTCTTTTGTTTGGCCAACTGTCTTCTGTTTTCGGCACCATCATCATTTTCAAGTGCTCGTTTTAATAAGCCTTCTTCCAAGGAAAAATAGTTCCACTAAGTCAAATATGATAACTACGGGAGAAAGTTTCGATATTTCTTGCCAAGCAGGTCGACGATGTTCCTCTTTCCGTTGTTGCATTGGCTTTAAAACGGGATTGTTTTCTTGTTTTTTCCTACGTTTGACAGGGGCTCTCATCATTGACTACATTTGTTTTTAGCAGTCCACTTTTTTTGTATAGTCGGCATTTCTGTGACTCTGTATTCGATATTAATGTCATACTCTTGAAGTCGCTCAATTTATCTGGCGATTTGACCCTTTGGGTTTTTAAACTGTATCAACTACTTATGGTATGGATTAAGAATCTCCTTTCATAAATGTATTAGTGTTCGACGCACTTCACAACTACTCCAGGAGTTCTCTTCTCGTGATGCAGTAATTTCGCTCAGGTTTTGAGAGCCATTACTTAGATAATCCAATACTCTTTCTTTCCCTTCCTCAATCTGTGAAATCACTACTACATTACTAGTTGTATCTAGAATAAATTCTTCCTCTGATAGTATCCTAGTATTGGTTATAAGCTTCTTTGCAGTCTACGTCCGAGCAGAATTCCCTTGTTTTTTTTAGTTAGTCGTGTAAATGACTTAGCAATATCTGGGAACTTGCTTATAAATCGATAATACGTGCAAAGTCCAAGAAAACTTTGTTTTATAGTTGCTTGTGGCTATAAAGACTGATGAATGACAATTAGTGATGGACAAACAATATTAATTCACGGTATGTGTTTAAAATGTTTATTACCTTTCTAATCATATTTATAAATAGTTTTTTCTTACCTATATTTTGTATTTCATTTAATATAGCCCCTCCAGTACGTACATGCAAGCGATTTTGATTTGAACCATCACCATATTCCATACTTTTAACAAAGGTGAAACAATTGTTACTTATGGCTAGTTCCTTTCGAGATAGAATAGAGACAACATAAACACTATATTGCGATGTGACAAATGGACGCAATGGCGACTTGAGTCGTATTTTAAATATTTCAAGTCAATACATTTATATTTGAAGACTGACGGAATTTAAAAAAAAATTTATATCATTAAATAAGGCTATTTTATGAAACTGGCATTTATTTTTACTAAAACTGACTAGCTCCACTATCTCGAGTTTGGCATATGACGCAAAATTGCGGACATTTTAGCATCTTCTCTTCATTCTATGTCGATGCTGCCGACAAACCTAAAAAAAGTTTAAAGTTTAACTTGTAATAGTCTTCAAAACACTGTTCCTCCCAGCAATTTTTTCAACAAACTTTAAAAAAGGTGGAGATTCTCAATTCGTCAGAATATTCTTTATGTATGTAGTCCGATTTCTACGATTTTTTCTTTGTTAGAAAGGGGGTACCTACCTAAGGGGTGGTCCTATATAAATTTGGTCAAGATCTGATGATGGTATCCATATCTCTTCATTTTTAGAATCTTTTTTTTTATAACTTGTATTAATTATTCACTGATGTCTTGTAAATTTGAACCATACGAATTCGCACATCTTCAACAGTTTACGTTATTATTGGATGCTTCCGAGAGCTCTTTTTTTCACAAAACGTTGAACAAGTATTGGTTTATGAGGAAAAAAGTAACGTTTTGGAGATCAAATTTATCGAAACTAAACCAAATCTTCGATTTGGTATATAGTAAGCTTATTATCTGTAGTTGAAGCCTTTAGGCAGCAGGAGGAAGCTAAACTGGGATATTTAACCCACAAGAAAGTAATAACATTATTTACTACCTAATTATCAAGCCATTTTCACTGGTAAAATGTAAAATAGGTAAATATTGTAACCAACAACAACAGAAAGCTAAGAAAAATTGTCAAAAATTTTCACCATGCCCCCTGATAACTTAATACACAAGCCTCATTTTAAGTTTGATCAGCATACAGGAAACGACAAACAATAAAAAACATGTACCTATATTAAAATAAAGTACAATAAGCCATGTACATAAAAAGTCATATTTTCACTATTAATGCTTAACTAGATCACCTTGTAATTTCAATAACTGATGCTCACCGGCGATAATTTGAAAATGTTGAAACCAACAGCTTTTCACGTTCAGAACTAATGGAATTACTAGACCATTCTGTGGTGTGCGATGGAGTGTTAATTACAATTTTTTTGTAAAAAATCAATATAAAATGACGTTCTTTTAACGAAGAAAATTTCTTGCTAAAAATGTTGCTGTATTTTTCACGTTTATATTTTCAATAAATCTAAGTTAATGGGTTTTTTAGATTAGCTTATGACATTAACGTGGACAAAAATCGTAATTAAGTACTAGTCTAAAAATTAAACTCATTAAAAAAATTCAAAACTATGAATGTAAATAAATATTAAATTGGATTTCCATCTCTACAGCTAAACAGTTGTTTTATACAAACAGGATTTAGGAAATAAGACTACCTAACGGTCGTATTCACCATTCTTATGTTAATCATTAACAGGTTGTCAAGTATGTAACAGACTGTTAAAATTCAGATTTGTTATGCACCATGTCAAAAAATAATTAACAATCTGTTAAATACTTTGTTAAGTTATCAGTCCAAAAACGGCCTGTTATGTAAGTTAACAAGCTGTGTCAATCAAGCTTTTGTTATCATTATTCACATTACAAATATTATGGACAGAATAAATTTTAATTTATTATCTTCATCTTCATCATCATCAGAGAGCGAAGATGAAATTCTTAGAATAAGGGTAGTACAAGTAAGAAAAAATCCAATTGACGATTTAAATCACGTTGAATTCAAGAAGAAATTTCGTTTAAATAAGAACACAGTAAGAACTTTAGCAAATTTGTTACAAGATATTGACGAGCCAGTGAATAATAGAAACCAACCAATAGCAAAAATAAACCAAATTTTAATAGTGCTGAGATTTTATGCCACTGGATCTTTTCAATCAAGTATTGGTGATATTTTTTCAGTTTCGCAATCGACTGTCTCACGCATTGTTCAAACAATTACAAGAAGTATAGCTAGCCTTCGCCCTGAGTTTATTAGGATGCCAGACACAGATGATGAAAAAAGAGAAATTGTTTCATCTTTTTACGGTATAGCTGGATTGCCTGGAGTTGTAGGGACCATAGACTGCACTCATGTCAAAATTTTGTCCCCAGGAGGTAACAATGCAGAAGTCTTCAGAAATAGGAAAGGCTGGTTCAGTATCAATACCCAAGTAGTTGGTAACGCTAACTTAGAAATTTTAGATGTGATTGCTCGATGGCCAGGCTCTGTTCATGACACAACAATTTTTGATGACTCCTTAATAAGGGCACGCTTTGAAAATAATGAATTTTATCCTTATATCCTTATTGGAGATGGCGGATATCCATGTAGAGTATATTTAATAACACCCATAAATCCTCAAACAGGAGCCCAGGAGCGTTATAACAGAGTGCACATCACAACTAGAAATACGATTGAAAGATTATTCGGAATATGGAAAAAAAGATTTCCATGCTTATCATTAGGGCTTAGAATAAACATACAGCGAGCTTGTGAAGTAGTAACAGCAACTGCTGTTTTACATAATCTGTGCAAAAGAGAAAACGACCTTGTAGAAGACTTACTTGGAGCAGATTTAGACATTGATGATTTGGTAGTTCATTACGATCCTCCACTACATGAAAATACTTCAACAAGGGACACTTTGATAAATATTATTTTTGTGTAGATCTACACTTTTTTAAATAGAAATCTGTTTGATAAGACTGCATTTTTTTTACTTATTTATTCATATATTAGGGTTTAGTTGTTTGAAATGTCATGGCAGCTTTTAACACATTCAAATCTAGCATTAAAATGTACATACCTATTAATTATTGCACAAATAAAAAAAAATGTTATATATTTTTTTATTATACAAACAAAACCTAAACACTTTTAAGCACGAATATAAAAATACATTTTCAAACAAAACACTTTAATACTAAAAAACAAACTTAGGAAACTTTTATATCACAATAAAAAATATTAACATACATAAAAAAAATAAGAGAAAAATGGTAAAAATCATTCTAAAAGAAGTGTTTGTTTTATCCTTAGTTCAATTTTTTCTCTTTCCTTTATTATTTCCTTAATATTATTATCAAGTTTTTTTCCCTTTAATGTCTCTCTTTCAGACTGTTCTGTTAGTTCTAAGATAGTCATCTTTTTTTTTAATATTTCTAGTTTTTTATTATTTACGAGAACTGCAGCTGGGAGTTTCCGTTTATTTCCACTTGTTATGTTTCTTTTAGTGCCTTCCTCAAGATCTGGATTATTTACCAAATTAATATTATTTTCGCACTCCTCAGTGCTTGTAATGGGTGCTTGGCTAATTTTAGTACTACTTTTCTTTGCCCTTTTCTTGGGTGGCTCATCTATTGTGGATATTTCTTCATTATTTTCTACAACAAAAATAATTTCTTCTTCGGGTTGGCTGGTGCTTTGTCGCGGCTCTGTATCCAAATTGTTACTGTCGAACTCATTCTCTATAGAAAAAAAATTATCTTCTAGCAGCTCTAGAACTTTATTGTCCAGATTTGTGAGTTTGGGAACAAATATTCCTCCTCCAGTTTTCTGCATTTCAACCTTAAAATAATATTCAATTACTCACTATATTTAATAAATTAATTAAATGTATACCTTCTCCTGAGCCTAATGCTGTTTCGCATGTTTTTTTAATCTTATATGCAGTTTTCAATTGCAATCCACTTCGAAATCCGGTTGTTTGATTGGCATTATATTCCCAAGCCAACTTCTCCCAACATTGCAATTTTTCTTTGTTGAAAAGTGCATTCGTCCTCTTATTTTTAATTATTTTTAAGTTTTGTTTTACTAGAGAAAGTAAAAGCTCTTTCTCCCTCTCTGTGTAATTTGCCGATCTTTTTTTTTTCATTTTAAGGGTTTTTAACTTTCACGACAAAACACTGTTTATAAATATAACCTTATTTTTATTTAATATTAAATAAAAGTGAAGTTAGGTAAAAATAGTAGCCAACCTAATTTCCTAGTGACTTTTCGATATCAAACTGTCAGTAGACTGACAGACTAAAATGGATGGTGCATTACAAATATCATTACCAAGCTGTTAGTTAACTATAAATTTAACTGAACAATGGTGAATACGACCGTAAGTCTTACGTTACAATTTTTTTTTTTAAGTAAGTTAGTGTCACTGGATATAAACCAACAGGCCAGTCAATTATAATAATAATAATAATAATAATAATAATAATAATAATAATAATAATAAATCGTCTTTATTCACCATAACAAAAAACAAAGAAAGAATAAATTTTTTTTTTTTTTTTCCTACCTAAATATAAAAATAACAAAGGTGAATAGGCGGAGTGTCAGCATAGGCTGTTTTTCAACTCAACCTCAGTAAAGATCCAAGAAAATATCAAGAACCAAAGAGCAGATCCGAGATGAACAGAGATTATTGTTTTTATTAGAACCGTCCTAAACCGACAATCAAGCCTTTTAACCTTTTTTTAAAATTAATTAGAGTGTACGATCCAAATTCTTTAGGCAGTGTATTGTATAATTTAGCTGCGGTGTAAGAGAAACTTCGCTGTCCAATGGATGAACTAAATTTGGGAATTACTAACGTACTCTTATTCCGAGTTCCGTAATTATTACTGAAATGTGTGAATTTATTAAATAGATATTTCGGTTTTTGATATTTAAGAATTTTGTGAGTTATATTCAGAATATGCAAAGAATGTAATTTTTTGATAGGCAGCCATTTTGATTCTTTGAATTTCTGTGAAATATGGTCAAATTTGCGTATACCGTAAGCGAACCTAATACACGAATTTTGAATTTTTTGAAGACGATTTAAATCCCTTTGAAGAAGAGCTGGTCCAAATACCGTATCGCAGTTTGATAACTTTGACATAATGAGTGATTCACACATTTTTAATTTAAGTTTAGGTGAAAGTATATCCCTATTAGGATACAGTTGTCTTAACACGTTGTATGAGCTTTGACACAGTTGAGAAATATGTTTTGTGAACCTAAGTTCAGAATCAATCCACAGCCCCAAGTTTTTATGATCATAAACAAGTGGAATGGGGTCATGACCTATGCTAAGTTTAAAATTATTAGTTAGAAGATTTCTAGCTTTATTGGGCCCAAATAGCATAAAGACAGATTTTTTTGAGTTTAATTTGAGATTATGTGCTGACGATATATCATATAATTTTTTTAAATTTAGATTTATGATGTATTGAGCTTGTAAAGAATTTCCTTGGTTAAAAGACAAGTAGAGTTGCGAATCATCGGCGTAATGATGAATATGACAATTTTCTACAAATTGATGAAAATCTGAAATGTAAAGTGAGAAAAGTAGTGGTCCTAAAATGGAACCTTGTGGAACACCATACTTAACCGGAAGGGATCTCGACACAGCTTCGTCCAGGACAATTTTCTGGGTGCGATTTTCAAGATAACTTTTTAAAAGTTTAACGGCCCGTGCAGAAAATCCAAAATAGGAAAGTTTTTTATTAGAAGTTGATGATCAAGTGTGTCAAAGGCCTTGCTGTAGTCAAGCAGCACTAGGCAAGTAACATTTCCTTTATCAATTGAATTATATATATACTCAGTTACGTCTAGAAGCGCAGTAGTAGTGCTGTGACTAGAACGAAAACTCGATTGCGTAGCCGGTAAGATGTATTCTTCCATAAACTTGTTCATTTGTTCTTTTAAGATCATCTCTAATACTTTTGATAGAGTAGGCAGTATGCTAATTGGCCTAAGATCTGAGTGGGTAGTAGGATTGTTACATTTTGGTAATGGAATAACAGAGGCTCTCTTCCATTGCTCCGGGAACTGACTACTGGAGATACATGTGTTAAATATGAACGTTAAATGTTCTAATAAGAATTCGTCTACCAGGTGAATTAGTCTCAATGAAATATTATCTGAACCTACAGCGTTGCTTTTAATTTTGAAAAGATGTTTTCTCACTTGAGATGATGTAACGGGGAAAAATTGAAAAGTATTATCACTAGACTGGTTCTGATATCGATCAAGAAGATAAAGTTGGGGGTGAGTTTTTTGTGTGTGAGTAATGTTGGTGAAGTGAGAATTTATACTATCTGTATCCTTTAAATTATCAGGAAAAGAGGCAGTTGGTTTTCTCAAGATATCAAGAGATCTAAGAGCATTCCAAGTAGATTTAGAATTTTTTTGCAGAAGTACAAAGTCTAAGTATGCTCTCATTTCACGACGAATTGCAGATGTGGTGTAATTTCTGAGTTCTTTGTAGTAATTCCAGTGCACAATGGATTGAGTAGATTTAAATTTTTTGTAAGCTTTATCTCTAAGCTTCATGATTTCTTTGATGTTGTATGTTAGCCAGGGCGAAGGAGATTTGCTTACTCTTTTGGTTACAATTAAGGCATGATAATCAAACAATTTAATTATGGTCATATTTAAAAAGTTTACCATTTCTTCAACATTTTCCATGGCATATATGTTGTCCAGGGTCAAAAGATGTAGATCGTGATTAAAAGCATTTAAATCGAAGTTAGAAAAATTTCTATATGTCACATATTTTGGCCTGCAGTCTTTTTTTAAAGAATCGATACTACATGAAATTGAGAAGTGATCTGAAATGCCGTGAATATCATAGACATGAATGTTAGAAATAAGATGTGGTTCACTTACAATTAAAAGATCAAGAAGAGTAGAGCATGTTCTGGAGATACGAGTAGGCTTATCAATAAGTTGCTTTAAATTAAACAACTCAAGAAATTCATTAAGTAGTGTAAAAGGTCTATTTACGCACAAACAGTCAATATTAAGATCACCAGCTAGTATAAACAAATCACTAGTAGGAAGAAGATTTGATACGGAATCTTCTAGTTCTTGTAGACACTGTAAGATACTAGCTTTTGGTGGTCGATATACAACACCAAAAATATAAGTCTTATTGTCATAAATCACAGATATCCAAAATTGTTCTAAAAAATGGCTAATGTTTGAAAATAATATTTTATGATTAATTTTTTTGTTTATGTAGAATGCTAAACCACCGCCCCTATCATCTCGATCAGCACGAATAAGTGTGTACGAGTTTATATCCACAATCCTCGTTTCAATCTCATGTGACAACCAAGTTTCGCTTAAACCAAAAATATCAATATTTCTGCTAGTAATAAATTCATAAAGTCTGTTGAAGCCTGTGAAAATAGACCGTACATTCAAATGATAAAAAGAAACATTTTTATTCATAATAGTAATTTAAACAAATAATACTTAAGTGATACTCAAGGAGTGTTTAAGACCAAAAAAAGAAAAAACAAATATTGTAAATAGAAAGAGAAGATCCAAAAAGATATTTCTTAATATACTACTAATTTTAGGACATAAGAATAACACAAACTATTTTCTTTGAAGTTGTCGCTTATCTTTGTTTCGTAGACGATCAGTTATTTTATCCAGATCCTGTGGGTTACTACTTGGTCCAGAGGAACTGCTTGATTGTGTTAAACCTTCGGAAGTAGGAGGTCCAGAGATAATGGATAAACTTGCTAAAATATCGGGATTGGTATTTAACTCTTCTAATGTGTATTTTTTGTTATTTACACACAAGCGATTATTTTTTATAAATATTTTTAAACCGTTTTTCTTTCCAGTATTCAGATGTTTTCTTAACTCCTTGTGTAACAGTTGGTCCTGTGGATTTAGGTCGTCGGCAACGAAAATGTGGGAGTCTTTAAGTTTGTTAAGATTTTTTAATTGTCAGATGAACAAATAAAAATATCGTATAACAAACTTTATTATTTTTCAAACTACATTAAAGTTGCTTTACTTAAAAACCCTAAACTTAATACGGTTTAAATGTTTTATTTTTTATTTTCCCCTTTTGTTTTTTTTTTTCTATTTGTTTTTTCTTTTTTCTTTTTCTTTATTTTTTCCTCTTTTCAACATTTTTTTCGATTAAGGTTTACAAATAATTTTAATGGTAGCATATTAAACGATAACGTTTATCTAACTTCTACACCACGCATGCTTCTTATTCAAGTACACTGCCTTGGTTAAGGAATCTGCTGCCATTTCTTCAGTGGATATTTTCATAAACCTAATTTTTTCTTTTTCCACTGCATCTCTGACAAAATGGAATTAGACGTCGATGTGTTTCGTTCTGGAATGGTAGCTGAAATTTTTGGTGAGGTCTAAGGCGCTTTTGAAATCGCAATATATGGTAATGAGACTAAGCCTTTTTTTAATTGGCAGACTTTATTTTTATTCTTATCTTCAAACATAAGAGGTTGTTGCATATACATCTCTTCGTTTTTTAATTCTGGCTGCAAAAATGCTGTTAGTGCATCCATCTGATATATATCCCAATTTTAATTATTAGCTTTTGCTATAGGAAAACGTAAGGTCGTTCCCCTTACCACTTGTGAAAACGTTTCATCAAAGTCAACACCGTGTATTTCTGAGAAACCTTTTTATTACTAACCTAGCCTTGTAACGAACAAAATTTTCTTATCCAGCCTTTTTCTTACGAAGAACCCATTTACATGAGCTAGCATTACGATTTTTAGGCAAATCCACTAATTCCCGAGTATTGTTTTTCATTAGCCATAACTATTCTTCTTCCGTTGCTCTCTAGAGAACGCTTTTTTAACACTTTTTGGATCTTCTTGACTTTCTACTATCAGAGCTGCATGCAAAACATAATCTTTTAGTTTTTATGGCAACTTATGCTCTCTTTAAAGATATTGCTTTTCTTCTTCTGCGCTTATGTCTTCAAGATTTTCTTGTGCATATGTCTGATCTAACGTATCTGTATTGTTTGTTTCGCTTTCTTATATTTTCATATCTCCATTCTTTTAACTCTAATATTCTGTTTGATTCTTCATTTTCTTTCTGTTTGATTCT